AAGGGGCGTCGGGGCAGGGGCCCCGCTCTGGCGAAAGGAAGGGGCGTCGGGGCAGGGCCCCCGCTCTGGCGAAAGGAAGGGGCGTCGGGGCAGGGCCCCCGCTCTGGCGAAAGGAAGGGGCGTCGGGGCAGGGCCCCCCGCTCTGGCGAAAGGAAGGGGCGCCGGGGCAGCTGTGGCGCAGCGCCGGGAGGGCGTGCGTTCTCCGGGCTTGGGCGGGCGCTCACAGTGAGGCCGCGGGAGCCGGGCATGCAAACGCCGTCTGGCTGCCTGGGAGGGCCGCTGCCCATCCTGAGCCCCGGGGCCGCAGGGCGTGGCCACCTGGGGCGGGCGGGGGGACGTCTGCCTCGGCTCTGACTCGTACCCCTCCCCAGGGTTCACCGGCGTGCTGTGTGAGGAGAACGTGGACAACTGCGACCCCGACCCCTGCCACCACGGCCAGTGCCAGGACGGCATCGACTCCTACACCTGCGTCTGCAGCCCCGGCTACATGGGCGCCATCTGCAGCGACCAGATCGACGAGTGCTACAGCAGCCCCTGCCTGAACGAGGGCCGCTGCATCGACCTGGTGAACGGCTACCAGTGCAACTGCCAGCCCGGCACCTCCGGTCAGCCCCCCCCGCCCCCCCTCCCCCCGCTAGATGCCCCAGAAGTGCCTCCTAGGTCTGTGCTCACTGCACGTGCTTGGGAGCCTGTGACCACCCTTCTCTGGACACACCTGCAGCACCCAGAGGTGGCCTTGCTTTGCGGCAGAGGTGCTTCAGAGGTGGCCAGAGGCGGCCAGAGGTAGCCAGAGATGGCCAGAAGCACCCGAGAGGTGGCCAAAGGTGGTCAGAGGCAACCAGAGGTAACTGAGAGGTGGCCCAAGGCGTCCAAGAGGTGGCCAGAGGCAGCCAGAGGTATCCGAGAAGTGGCCAGAGGTGGCCAGAGGCAGCCAGAGGTGGTCAGAGGCGGCCAGAGGTGGCCAGAAGCACCCGAGAGGTGGCCAGAGGCGGCCAGAGGTAGCCAGAGTGGCCAGAAGCTCCCGAGTGGTGGCCAGAGGCGGCCAGAGGTAGGCAGAGGTGGCCAGAAGCACCCGAGAGGTGGCCAGAGGTGGTCAGAGGCAACCAGAGGTAACTGAGAGGTGGCAAGAGGCGTCCAAGAGATGGCCATAGGTGGCCCGAGGTACCTAAAAGGTGGCCAGAGGCAGCCAGAGGCGGCCAGAGGTGGCCAGAGGCAGCCCGAGGTGTCCAAGGGGTGGCCAAAGGCAGCCAGGGGCCGGGCTCCAGCCTGTGGGGAAACTAGAGAGGGTCACTTTACAAAGCTTGTGGCTGGCTCTGTGTATTTTTTGTGGAAAGGAGGCAGAATATTTTGAAAAATGGAAATTATTTAAAATCGAAGCCCTCCTGCCGCGGTCACGTTGACTGGCCGCTCTCGACCCCGCCCCACTCAGCACAGGGCTGCCAGCCCTTCCCCCGCTCCCCGCAGCCCAGTTGCCCGGAGCGGAGCCCG